CATAGTAATTTGTTAATAGGGGCTTTCCGTGCAGTCCTCAATTCACACACTGCTCCTATATAGTTATCCCATGCGATGGTTCAGATGTCTGTGGTGTAACTGTTATTGCTTTTTTAGTAGTCTTTTTCTTTGTTTTTTAGGAAGCTGTCAAACAGTGAAATAAAGGCGATAGAACAAAATACATTTTATCCTTTCTCAGGACTCATCAACTTGTAAGTAAAATTATTGCGGCCAGTTTCAACAGTACAATTCCATTCGTTTTCCAATCTGTTTGCGGTTAAAATGGGAAAAACAGCAAAGGGAAAAGAGATATCCGTGAAAATATATAAAACAAGAGTCACCGACCATTTTAGAGATATATTAAATTCCAGGCGAAGTCAAAGCAAACCGGTACTAAGCCCGACACTTGCTTATTTTCCTTTCTTAGCGCGCGCTTGATATATGACGTGGTGTAACGTGCACGTGGCGACGTGAATTTCGTGCGCAGTAGGGATGTGCAGAATCAATAGGCGCGAACTTTCCAAACTTGCAAACTCAAGTAAGGATAGTTGATTTTGTTGCGTTACACGCATCATTTTCCCCACCCTTTTCCTTGAACTTATGTAAGGACAATGAAACAAAAGAAAATATAAGCTAGATGATTTTTTCTTTGTTTTTTTAGTTTTATCAGAGAAATGTCTCAAAACCTGCTAGAGGAACTACTGCCAAATAGTTTTGCAGGTCTCAAGAATCTGCTGAATCTGTAAGTTTCTTATTTCTAACTGTTGTAGTTTATAATTTTTCGGAAAAGTTATTGCTTGTGCTTAAATCTAACCTGCTATTTGTTTTCAAAGGTCACTGACGTATAACAACATTCGAGTTATTCACAAAGACGCTTTTAGCGACCTGAATTCTCTGCAAACACTGTAAAACAAATCAGGTTTAATTTTTGATCAGTGTAGAACTGTGATTTATTATTAGTGGCAGCAAGAAATAAAGAAATAAGATCGCAGGTTCGGTCTAAACGCCATCAGGAAACCGGTCCCTTAATTCGCATGTACTGCCCAGCTGTTAATATCGAAGCGATTGATGAAGGTTCATAGTCTGGAGCTGGTTATTTGACCCAGCTTACTCGTACCCAGTCGCTACTTATGTGATTTTGGTGTGGGAGAAGATAGGATAGAGACCAAGAGACTTAACGTGCGGTCTGAAGTAAATGTCGACTTGAAAGACCTTTTACGACATTAAAGTTATTGCGTAAAGTTGGATGATCAACTTCAATTTAAGGCGAAGTTTAATTTTGAATATTCCGTCAGTTAGAGAGTGATGACCTAGCATAATTAAATAACTTGAACTTCTAAGGTTTGTTAAATTGATAGATTAATTTAATTCTTCTCAACGTTACAGCAACCTGTCGAGCAATGATCTCCAAATATGGAATACCCATAGTGCTTCACTGCATCTCCCATCTCTGACTACTATTGACGTGCAAGAAAACATGGGATGGAGACCAGAAGATAACTACCTTTTACAATTACCAAGACTAAAAGAAATTAAGAATGTCTCCTGGACTGCGGAATGCTTGGATTGTTGGATCGTTAAAAACGTTAGCGAGGACCTCATAGAGACATTCAACAATTCACATTTTTCGTACACTCATCACGTTTCTTGCTTTAAAAAACAATACACGTTTAGCGATTACCTTATGTTGCTGGCGAGGCACCGCTTTGTCGTCAGAAAGTGCAGGAGATTTTACGATTGTATTGATTTAAGAGAAGCTAACACCACTATTTCCTATCCGTGTTGGCCTGTCAATCAACGTGTATTCTCTGTGCAGCTACTGCTCGGAATACTCGGGGCTATCCTAAATTTGGTGGCGTTTTTTAACATTTTGTTGACCAAGTCCCTGCGACAGAACGTTTCCATGGTACTCGTAACTTAGCCGTGGGAGTGATTTGGCCATAATGGCGGCCCTCATAGTGAGCAATCGATATGACGACTTGTATCACCGCTCAGGCAGTATATCCGATATTCAGTGTCCCAGAATAGGATCTCTCTGGGTACTCGGGAAAAGCACGACCTCAATTACCTCTGTTGCGCTCACTGTCGAGCGATACCTATGTATCGTTTTCAGCATAAAGCCTGACATTCGAATGACACCCACTTTAGCTTTCCTAGCTTAAGCTTTTAGCTGGATCGTTGCGGCATTCATGATGTCAATGGCACATTCCTACCACTTGTACCGGCGCAACTTCCTTTGTATTCCCACCACGTATGACACTTTGCGCTTGCCGGTGGCGACGCGTTACACAATTGCGTTAGGTTCCACCGGGATAACGCTTTATCTGCTAACCATACCGTTATATGTTCACATTTACAAGGTTGTCAAACAATCCAGTCAGCAAATGGGAGTGCAGCGAGAGTCTACTCTAGCAAAGCGAATTGCAATCCCAGTAGGTACTAACTTAGTGTTCTTTTTCATACCTATTCTATCGCTGGGGGTATGGGCCTTGCTCATACAGTCAAGCGCTGCAGGAACGCTACCATAAATTCTAAGAGAGCAATATAAGTCTGGATTCCGTAATATTGCTTGAGCATTAATTCCTGTTTAAATCCTCTGGTACACGCCTTTCGAAACGGTAAGTTCAAGAACGCTCTGAAAAGGAACTTTCCTTTTAGATGCGGCGCTAATAAGGTTGCACCTGCTGTACGAACTGGAGGGGGAATACGTAAGAGAAGTAACGTCACGCCGTCTGCACAGTCGGCATCTTTAGGAGCCGTACGTGACAGAAGCAGCGTCACGCCGGCTGTGCAAACTGCACACGTGACACAGAGTCCAACGAACACATGTAACGCCACATCGAGAGGAGTAGGTAACAGATTTAACGTCATACAGAACAAAATCTACATCTTCAGGAGGCGCTCGTAACAACCGGGACATAACGCAAGTAACGTTTACACGCAAACTGTATCATGGGGAGGCCCCGTATGTATTACTGTACTAACTGTAATTTGATGTGTCACGCTTCAAGAGGCGATATACGTAACAGAAAGTGTCACACCCTGTACAAACCTCATCTTCGGATTCAACTACGAATGACGAGTAGATTTGTATGCGTAATGTGGCTACATACCATCCAATTTGTAAATAATTGGATGAAAAAAATTCTGGACTCCGCGGACCGAGTCAAATTGAGGGTTGTTGTGAATTCAATTTTTTTCCAAATTGCACTAGGATGTAGTCGTGTTACCTGTTAATCATACTGCCCACGGAACTGTCAAAATCAATTCTTAGTTTAGACACTATCCAAATTGAGAATTAATTTGGATAATTTTCAAAATTAATTAATAATCGAGGCGCGCGCTTCTATAGTATTTTGAGCGACAAAATCATTTATATGTCATTATATCATGTTTTAAACTGAGAACTCGCCCAAGAAGACTGATGCCAACATAGGTGACTGTGGTAAGGAGAACATAGCAGCTCATCTACAGCCGCCTTCGCCGCTGTTGAGCCATCAGACAGATTTCCTGAGAAGCACTGCGTAACACCATTCAACAGCAGCAACGGAGACCGAGTACCAATCTAAAATACAAGAATAAATCCGCTGTGACGTACTCCGTTCATTTTTATTGCACAAATACATTACAAAAGTCTCGTTAAACAAGTAATGTCGTTGAACCATTAGTTGAAATGACAGCAGTCAGTAATTAGTACTCAACAGATTTCACAAGGTCTACTTTATTCAACGGTGAACTACGTCATTTAACGCCAAACACTCTGTGCAACTTAAAACGCAGCGATAAAAAAACTGTACAAAGCTACAGATTGCCTTCGGCAAAAAATTTCTTCCACTTGGTAAATATGTATGGTGCGTAAGGAAGGTGGGACATGGAGAACACTTTTCGTCTGGTGAGTAACAAAGCTTATGTCATGGTACATCATGCAGTAAACACTTTGAGTGAAAATGGCATAAAACTTTTACCTTTTATTATATTATTAGTTAATTTCTTTTTTGGGGTCCACAAATTGCAATTTTTGAACTATGATTTGACCCGTAATTGAATCGATGGGCATTGCTTTACTTCTTGCTGCCCTCGAAAACAAAACTATTTATTTCTTCCTTTTCGCGTTCTTTCACGTAAGACACTTGGGGTGTTTTATTTGGCGGGTTTCACAAACGTGTTCCCAGCCGGTGCGCTGTAATCCTGCGGGACAGAAACTGATGCTGGGGTGCTAAAATGTGGACTGTCTGTGGAGGGCACGGGAATGCTTGACTTCTTGATAGTCACAAACTTGGTGTCCATGACTTGACAGTCGATCTGCATCATGGTAACCAAGTCTTTGTCTCTGTTGTCATCTTGCTGCCATTCCGTTCCTGATTGAATGGAAAACAAAGGAAAATGCCACACTGTTTAGCTAGAGGCGTGTAGTTGAACATCCATGTATTGCATCATGTATTGCATGGAATTGCACAATAATGTATTCTTAGATCTAAACTGAACATCACACCTTCCTAAGGGATCGAGGGAGGGGAAAGCGGGGTAGCGCAGGAAGGCCTGACACAAAGTAATTCAGTGGCTTGTGTCGAACATCCAAAATCTGGACGTTGCGCGATTGGATAACACAGAGACGACTTTTAAGTCAGCGGAAATCAAAACCTTGAATTGCCATTAACCCTATTAACTTTCCCAACTTACAGTGTACTTCCAAAAAGCTTAATACTTAATACTGAGTTCGTATAGTATGATCGTCCGGGTGAGTGTAGTTCTGAAAAGAACTGTTGTTGGTGACTGTTGTTGTTGATCACACTATACGAACTACTGATACTCCTGGGTTCAAACCATTTACTATGCTACTTAATACTGAGTTAGTAAAAACTCCAACTTACTGTTAGGAGGCGCCATTATCATAAAAGACATCTTGGGCCTTTGCGTTGCGTTGTATTCAGTGGCAGGGAACACCAGATGGTCCTGAATAAACCAACAGACAAGCACTTAGTTCACTTCACTGACCTAAATCTGACAAAGACAAGAAGAATAGGCATGGGAACTTACCCCTCGGAAAGACACAATGTACAACGTGTCTGATTTCTTGTTAATTTCTTCCTCAAACGTCTTGAACCTGATAACGTATAAAAGCATCTTTCAGTTACACTGCACCCAACTTTTTCAAATAAAAGGGAAAACACAACACTGCCATACATTAAAGCTTTGTGGTTAAGTCTAGGACACTTCACCTTCTGGGAAACAAATAGTTGTGGCATTCACACTCCTGGCATTCACCCCGCCCCACTACCTTCACTACAATATTGCGTTATAACCAGCCAGCCTAATAACAATACCTGTATTTCAACATTGCTATCGCTATACTAAACTGGCAGACATCACAAACCAATAGTCGAAAGTTTAAAATGCAGTTTATTCTTGTAAACGTGTTTCAGATAAAGATAACTTACTTATCTTCTCTTTGGAATAACTGTACTGCGTTTTTGGAGGCTGGATTGTGCTTTCGTGAAAACTTATGCCTAAACCAACAAAAGAATAGTAAGTTGATGTTAAGCCATTAGCAATACACTGTTTAATACACTTTGAGCATCTCAAGGAAGGCGGATCTTCCTTGACATAACTTGATGGGTCTACAGAACCAGCGTGAAGGAAGATCCAAGTAAGCACGTGCAAGTAGAGTGTTACATCAACAACAATATTCAACAATAACAAAAACATCTTTATTTCTCTAAATAAATATAAATATTATAGCATTTTTAGTTTATTTAACACATTTAGTATGTTTTAGATGAGGTAACTGTTATAATCTTATTTCAATGAGACTGGAGGTTACGAAAAGCTACGTGTACAACAAAAAGTTTGGTGGAAGAAATGGAGCCGTTGCTTATGTATTCTTATTGCATAAACACCAATGAAATACCAGATGAGCTTTTGGGCCAAAATATGATATCTTCACATGTGAAAAGATCACGATTGCTATGGTTACATATCATGCTTTTCGCAGCAAAAGTGAAATGGCTTGGTATTTCATTAGTGTTTATGTAACAAATAGAACATCTCACGGCCGCTTGGAGAAACAAAATTGGTCTTCTTGTGTCGAAAAATATTTTGTATCTCCTCACAGCCATGCAATATCCTCAATAGTTACATCGACAAACGAGAGCCACTTTGCTGTTTACCTGAGCTGTAGATAACATACCACTTGACAATTAATTCATGTTTTAGCATGCATCATCAAGTTAAGTGAGGCTCGCAGGTGAGGGCAACTCTTAACTTCTTTCCTGCTCTCTGAACTAACTTTCCAAGCACATCATAATAAATGATGATGATGATGATGGTGACGACGACGACGACGACGACGATGTGCGAATAAAACCATGATGGGACGGCAAAGGGAATTTCACTTAACTGAAGTAATGTGTGGTACAGCGAGTTTGATAGCGCAGCTTTGCTATCGACATGTATGTTACAATGTGACATGATGCTGGACTAACCTGTTGATTTTCCTCTTGACATCTGCTGAACAGTTTGATGCCAGTCTGGCAAGCTCTTTGATAGCAGATTCCATCTGAGATTTAATAAATGGCTTTTGATCAACATTAACACTCTACCAAATGTTTCTCATGTACTTCTATAACAGGCATCTAAGAAGAATCTAGTTTTCAGTCACAACATTATTTGAAACATTGGAGTTAAATCAGTTTTACAAGTCTGTATCATACTGAGTGGCCAAATACTGCTGCAGCCTATCCCAGTTTCTGTAGCATGAGGCAACTGGGAGTGTTTCTACTTCCCCTGGATGGGATGCTAGTCCATTACAGGGTTACCGCCAGCATTAAGTTCGGTGGTACCCATTTATACACCTGGGTGGAAAGAAGCACTGAGAGAGTAAAGTGTATTGGCCAAGAATACAACACAATGACCCCCAGCCAGGACTTGTACCCAGACCTAACTCAATCCTGAGTCCACTGTGCTAACCATTAGCTCAGTTTACATGAACATTATACATGGAACTTGAGTATGCTATAAAGAATAGAGCCTTCTTTGGTTACATGTAGGTTTGTAGAAATACAGTAAACTACAGAAACTCAGTACTGCTGCCACCATATATGGCTACATTTGTCACACAAATGATGAATAAAGAATTTATATTATTATAGGTAGATCTATTATAATATTGTGAAATCAAACCTTGGTCTGCCTCCGTCCTTGTTTTCTCTGTTTCAAAATCTGTTGATTCTCATATCTCTTCACCCAACCTTCCAGAGCTTCATTAATTCTGGGAAAGAGATGGAAATCATGACCAGTAGAGCAGTTGCAAGGCCATTTTGGGGACTGAGAGGGGGGTCGTTATGTATGCATGTCTCCCCTGTTTATATTTGAAACCTTTTTGTGTTGCAAATTTGGAAGGTTTTGAAATCATGACCAGCAGAGCAGTTACAAGGCCCTGTTGGAGAGAGGGGGGTTGGCATGTTTTCATGTCCCATACTGAATTTCAAACCTTTTCATATGTCGCAATGTTGGAAGGTATACAAGTCATTGTTAAAATTTTAACCTAAGTCTTGTTGTTTGCCATCACTTCACCAGCCCCATGGATGTCACTGTTTCAACCCCTTGCTGCTTTCCAGAAATGTACTTCAAGAGGCGCTCAGTGGCAATTTAATTTTGTATATAATGAAGTGAAACATAAAATTCTAAGAACTCACTGTAATGTTTAAGTTCATTTGCTATTTCTTTCATTGTGATGTCATTATTTTCTACACAGCCTATTGCAGGCCAGTTGGACTATTATGATTTTATAATATTTCTTTCTGGTTAAATACCTTGTTGCTTCTGTCTTGTTAAAATAACTTGGGCAGTAAAACTGATCATCTAGTGTTCCATTCTGTTGTTTACTTTCAATCTTTCTTCTTGACTTAAGGTTCCTTTCCTTCCTTTTGAGATTCCTTCTCTTCTGTCTTGAATCACCAAGGAAGTCCCACTTGTTCTTTATCACCATTAAGTCCCTCCTCTCAGCATTTCTACTTTTCAACGGTGATGACTTCTTCTGTGAAGTGTTTAGCATGCTCGGGTCCACCTTGGCGACTGTCTGTCTGTCATGGAATTTATTGACAGCTGGACCAAACACAAGTGGTTTATCAATGTTGCTACCATCCTCATCTCCTTGATAATTCAGAAGTGCTCTTCCATGGTGAATCATAGAGCTGGGTAGTAAATCTGGTCGGTTTAGTTTCCACTGCTCCTTCAGAGTGCTATAGTCCAAAAAGTTACATAAGAAAAAGGCATATATGTACTATCATGACAGACAGTGTCCCTATTTATTGATCTTGATAGAATGTCATACAACAAAATCTGGTCACAGAGGACCCAGACAATCCAGCAAGCCAATCAAAACTCAAAGTACATACATGTCCATGTAGAGAGCATGAGCGGGTCATGATTGATAATTTTGCTTTAACTTCTGTTTGGTTGAAAAATTGGCACAAGTCAAGTTTACAATGTGCACCTCCCATGTTTATGAATATGTGGGAGGTCAGGCAGGGAAGTGCAAATATTAATCCTAGGAGTTTACCCTGACAACGGGAGCATCAGACACATGTACATGAACTACATGTAATAGTGCATCTAAATAGAAAATGGAATTTCCACTAGCATCCAAAAGCCTGAAAACCTGTACTGCACTGTACATCGCAACATGAAAGTATTTAAAGGTTTCTTCAAAACTCAGCCAAATTGTTGTTAATAAATTAAAGTACATGACCAGTCTCCTCATTCATCATCAGAAAAAAAAATCATTTGTATCCCCAGCTGTCATGGCTGCATTTCGAGAACATTTTCTAGTCTCATTAGAAGTTTTCAAAATTAGCTTAATAATTTTTATTGCAGCAGTTATTTACACCTGATATTATTGGTAGCAATGCATACTTAAATAGAAAGGACAAACCATTATGCTATGAAATATACATGTATGTACACTAGTGGGTGTACATTTTTGACTTGTTTCAATTCTGTAAGTACTCACCTGAAAGGTCCAATGTTCAAAGCTACAAACAAAACAACAGCTAAAACACATGTCGATTTCTTTATGGTGCTTGTCAACTCTGGGTGCTTACTACGCAAAAGGGTGTTCTGTTCAAAATACAAAAACAAAATTGTTAGTCTTAAAAAATCACATTCTGATATATAAGAACATACAGCTTGTACCAATCATGGATGTAAGTGTAATAACTGTATTGTGGCTTGTAAACTATATTTTTTTAAATTATTTTTTCCTGTTCTTTTGAGGCATTTAGAGGATGATACAGACATGTATGCAGGTGTGGATTTGATCAGTCACCAGCTTGAATTTCTATAGAACTGCATTCAAGTGCAATCAAACTTGTACAAATGTAAAAGCAGTGTTTTTGAATTTGTGGAGAAAGATTATGAGCCTCTTACTCCTAATCTAATACAAAGTCATGTGGTATTAAATGAGCAACAGTTGTCAGCCCTGGGAGGAAATGTCCCAAATTAACGCC